ACCCCATTCACATTATCCAGGAACTTTCACTAAAAATTAAACCTTAAAATCTCTAACCTCTACGAGGTAGATACACTCAAACATAAATACACAAAGAGTATATAAACTATAAACACAGAGACGGAATATCAATAGACAAACACAACTACACAAACAAACTTCATTGGGTGGAAATGTAGAGAAATCTTTATGAATTATTACTGAGTTTTTAAACATAATAAAATGGGTTAATCAACCAGAAATTGATGGGCATTGAAGAAAAACAATGGGAGGATAGGGAGTAGTAGAAGTAGGAGAATTACCTTCGATCGATTATGGAGAAGAGATACTTAGTACTGTAATCTAGGACTTCGAATGCTACTTCGTAATTTGGGGTCTCCATGTCTGCACAAATTTAGCTTACTGATTTAGTATATCAGAAAAATTTGGGATCCACTCTCCGCTGTGTTAGTTATATACGTGGCATGCTGATCCTTTTTTTTCTTTTTATTTTTTTTTTAAATATGAATTTTACATTACTTTTTTGAGGAAAATATCTCAACAATATTCCCATAATAGTTAATTTTGGTTTTGGTTGCCAAAAAAAGCAATTATTGTTGAGTTTTCGTGTTTAAACAATGTCTGTAAATCTGGAAAGGGAAAGAGTGTTAAGGGAAATTTTGCATTGTGTCGTGTTCGTAGGAACACTGCCTTAAAAGTAATTTTCAATTTCCTGCAATTACTTTCGACCGTAACACAGGCACGCGAGTTGCGCTTGGGCAAAGCTGCTAACAGAGCTAGACGGACGAGAATGGCAGAAAAGGGAGGTTTTTGGCGAGTGTTTATTAATGCACAGGGACAAAGCTTATATACGTAGAAGTGCAACAAACTTTCATCTGAAAATGGCGTTAATGGGCAAAGTGGATCATGATCGTGAAAGGAGAAATATAGCGCAATTATCTGACTCCACAAATTTATTATTTATTATGGAGAATGGCGTTAATGGGCAAAGTGGATCATGATCGTGAAAGGAGAAATATAGCGCAATTATCTGACTCCACAAATTTATTATTTATTATGGAGAGCCGGAATAGTCGAAAATAAAAAAGAAGGGCGCGCATAATTCTAATCCCATCCCACGACAGCGGTGCGCGTGTAGGGTTCCTATTACTTTTCTCTCCATAATAATTCAAATGCTCCAAATAGGTCATTGAATATAAGGGAAGAAAAAGTCCCTGGAGAAAGCAATTTGGGACAAGAAGTATAGAAGAAGTCACTTCGATCTATACATGATTGAATGTAAACTCCAACACCATTTAAGCACAAGGTGCTTGGCAAAACAAATTCGATCCTACCAAACACTTCATCATAGTCGGGAAAGTGCATAGAAGTTGCACAGTTCTAAACCCATCAACCCCTACCCAACTTATTGTTTTTATTAAACAATTTTAGAATCTAATGTCTGTCTGTCTGCCTGCAATGTAAATAATGTTACAAATAATGTCATTGGAGGGTAATGTATCTATGTCTATCTTTCTTTATGTGCCTCTGTACAAGGTACACCGGACCTTAAACAAACAACCTATACCAATTAACAAAACCACCTGTCTGTAGACTAACACCAACAAACAAAGCTATAAAAAAAACCCCACAAATTTGGTCAATAAATTACTAATTCCACACCTTGTGGAACACTTAACATCAGTTGCTGGTGGGCATATCTTCTAGCAGATTCCTGAACCTCCACTGGCCGAGAAAAGTGCTTCAAGATCTGGTTGTGGGGATCGATCACCAATTTCTGGAGAGCGGGAGGGTTCTGGATGAAGTACATTGCGATTTCAGCGTCGCTAGGGCGCCCAAAATACCCGCGAATCTCCACAACCTTGAGCGACTTGAGAAGAAACGCCTCGCCCTTGAGCATCCCTCTCCTGGTCTTCTATGGACACAGCCATATCAACTGCACAGCAGCATCCGAGTAAGGAAAACCAATCAAGTTATGTAACGGATTGCAGAAAAGGCGAGCTTGGACTACATACATTTATCACATAAAAGACCAGGGACAATAAACATAGTATTTACTTAAAACGAATCCATTCCACAAAGATGTTAATTGAAAATTTGTAAAGCGCAGCACCGAAACTGAAGTTGTAACACAAACAATCTGTAACGCAGTTCGGGCAAACAACCCTAATCTGCGAGGCACTTCTCAATTTGAGAACTTGCCTAAATCCACTAAAAGCTCAATATTTAAAGTACACTGTTTGGAACCTGAGATTACACAATAGAATGATCTTTCCTACCAAACTATTGAAATCTAAACACACGTACTACTTTCTAGGGGAATTAGTATCTTATTCTCAAAGACTCTCGTACCTCACAAGATTAATGTTGAATGCTTGAGATCTACAATAAAGGACATCCCCTATTTATAGTAGCTATTCCTAACAGATTCGTGAATAACAAACTATTCCTAATCAAAATAGAACTAGAAAATCTTCAACAACAAATCCCCTTAGAACTAGTATTCTTCAATAACTATTCCTCTTAGTACTGATATTCCTTTATAGAATTGGAATTCTTTTTGCACATAACTTTGACAAAATACTTTGAGTCAACATTAATAAATGTCAATTTAATGAATACAATGATTCGAGAATATATAATGTATGTTCTTCCCTAAGAAGTAACTACAGTTAGTTACCCTGTGCAAATGCTTCTTATTCTCACGGGCGCTATGGAATAAGCAAAAAGACCGAGTTCTTAACAAGGCAAATTCAACTTATTCCAGATGATAAATTTTCAAATCCAAAGATGAGTAGGCTATACTTGGAAACAACCAATGTGACAGAAAATGTTTTCTTTCACATTAAATTTAAACCGAAGGATTAGATACGCTATTAAAACTTTTTTTTTTTAGAACGTATTAAAACTTGTTATATATGTAGTTGAAACACGCACCAAGAGCACAAGTCTTTCCAAATGATGACAGTGTTGTAGCAATGATGTGAACTCAAGAAGAGATTCGTCACTAAATGCTCCAATTTTCAGCACTAACTCCTTGAGTTTGGGCAGTTCGGGAATATTTGAGAAATTAACGTTTGCCTGCATGGAAAAAAAAAAACAAAAAAAATGAGTTAACAAAACACCGGAAAAGAAAATAGTCTGAACAAAGAAAAATCACCTACTAACCTGTGGACGATAGATAACTAAAGTTAGAAGCTCCAGCTGATTAAAGCAGCAGGCAAGCTGTCCAAAGACATTGTTCTCGATTCCAGAACGGCCCATACCCACCGAGACCTCTTCAAGTTTTGGGACATTTTTAAGATAAAAGTAACCGCTGGACCCAAATAACAGAACGAAGAAAGAGTTGTGTCTTGGAGCTCTATAGTTTTTCAGCCCAAGCAGATGAGAATCTCCAAGGAGTTCAGCTTGAGAGCCGGGCCAACGACCTTCACATTTACCGAGCACCTCGAGTACTGCAATGACATAAACTCGAGAAACGGACAGTGTAGAAGGAAAGACTCCAGCAGTTGATCACTCACATTAACGTCACATATGCATCCTAGGTGGAGGGGTAACCTGTTAAAAACTGAGAAAACTTATAAATTGGATAAATTGAAAGACATTAGTTAGTTTAGGTACCCAATTGTTATTTTTTAAGGTTTAGTGGCCTAATTGCATTATTGTGTTCAATTCAGTGGCCTATTTGACCCTTATTCCTTTTTGAAAAAAATGTCACATATGCATTCTAGGTGGAGGGGGTAACATGTTAGAAACCTAAGAAACCTGCAAATTAAAATGGACTAATTGCATGAAATTGGTTAGTTCAGGGACCTAGTAGTAGGTTTTTTAGGTTCAGTTGCCTAATTGCATTCTTGTGTGCAGTTCGGTGGCCTATTTGACCCTTATTCCTAATAAATGTATATTAGATAAGGAAGTAAAAATCAAATAAGGAAGCAATAAATCACTAGCCTTTAGGGTCGGGGTGTGGGGGGCCCTTAGCGTTGGGGTTCAGCCTTTGGAAGAATAAATCACTAGCCTTTTGTTGGTCTGAAATAATTGTACATGCATGGCTGTTGGTGATGCCCAAGTATTCTATCAACAACTCTAAAAATCACTTCCAAGAATTAGTATTCTCTATCTCAACTACTGCCCATGCAATGGGATACATTTGGTTATTTGGATCCCTCCCAACTGCAACTAAAATCTCACCTTAAGTGTTCCTTTGAGAAAGAAACCATCTAGTCATATAACCTGCCTACACCCAGCAAGAAACCCCCTTTTCATTGCGTCAAAGCACACATATATTCTCTAAAATGTACATGGTGCATTAGGGACTACTCTATTGGTTATAATAAGCACTGCTTCTAGGATTGGAATCTAAACATTCTTGTGCATAATCTCTTTTTTTGAATTGTTCAGAAAAACCTTGATTAATTTTCTTCCGGATAGCTTTGTGCGTCCTACTTACCATCATCACATTAACATTAATCTCCAACTTTGACTCTATATCATCCTTCAACTTAGTGTATTTCATGGTAGGATCTCTTATAATCTTCTCCTCATAATTTTCTTCAAGCCATTTTTGACTTATAACCCTTAAATTATATCTACAATTGCACCTATGTTTTAACTCCATTGTTTTCAGTTGGAAACATTTAAACCTCTCTTCCTAGCTACAATGTAAGAGGAAAGGACAACCATGCAGACATTTCACTCTAACTCTCATTTTCTCATTTTTGTAGAAGTGAATATCTCTCTTCTCATGCACGGCATATTTTATCATTGCACTCTTAAACTGACTTGCATCATCAAACAACATTCCTATCTCAAGCTCGGGATAATCACAAGCTGGGTTATAGGATGGGAATTTGCATCTGTTGGCTTCCCTTTCAACATCGTCTTCTTATCACTTCCATAATCAACACATACTTTGTTTCCCTCAACTTCATTCTGATTTGATCTTAGCTTTATATGTATTCTTTGCCATTGCCTTACCCTTTCCCTTATCATTTCCATGTCTATCTTCCAATCTCATTATCTTGTGTAACCCATCCATATCCATTATCATCATCCTCATCATGTTCACTATCCATCTCATCATATTCAACTTCATAATTAATTTCAAAATCATCTTCAGGTAGAACCTCAACTACATGATCTATCTCCTGACCTTGATCCACATTCTCAGCTACATGTCCTTCATAAACATTCTCAAGTACAAGTAATAACAATTCTTGAATCACTTCAGGTTCATCAATTCCATGATGTACGTAGATGTCACATTTCTTCCATTTTGTTGTCAAACTAATGAGGTCCAAAGTACTTTCATCATTCCACAGAACTTTGAGTTGTGTCTTAGAGGCTCATGGGTTGCTTTGTAGTATAAACTTTGCATATTTCCATACTGCCCATCTTTTATATATTTTGCTAAATGGGGGTATGAAATAAGATCTGGGTCAATTTGTATCCTATTAACCTCACCATTGATATACTTGAACTCAGGACTTCTTACAAAATTTCCACCATGGTGGACTACTAACTCAACACTTGCACACATGTCTGCAATAACTATGGTAATATTAAAAACTATTTAACAGTGTAGTAAAGAAGTTAGAATTGTTAAAAAAATAATAAAAAAAATAATAATAAAAAAAAAAACCTCTTTAAACCACCAAACATCCATACACACTCAATACCATTTAACAACACTGTTACACTGTACTACCAAACAATAAAGCAAATTAAGTACCATTTAACAAATAAAAACATGACACCTAGCATTCATTTAACTAAATACTTTAAAAAATTCAATAAACTTTAGTATGATGCATATCCATCAAAGTTTCAGCATGGACCCCATTTGGAGGCTAAATTTCAAAACATTCCAACATCAAAACAACAAAGAAGGACCACTTTTTTTCAAAAAAAAAAAAAAAAAAAAAAAAAAAAAAAAAAAAAAACTTATCAACATTATTGTATACATATTCCAGGAATACAACTCATAAATTACACAAAACCCTTACATAAACCCAATCCCCAGATTACATACAACCCAAACCCTAACATAAAACTAAGAAACATGAATACCTATATGTACTTTAACTATCAAGCTAAACCATACCTTTTTGAAGTTATTGCGGTTGAGTGGCCTAAGAAACACGAATACCTATATGTACTTTAATTGTTGTTGTTTTTTTTTTTTTTTTTTTTTTTTTTTTTTTAGGTTCAGTGGCCTAATTGCATTATTGTGTGCAGTTTAGTGGCCTATTTGACAGTTATTCCCTATTGTTTTTATTAAACAGTTTTAGAATCTAATGTCTGTCTGTCCGCCTGCAATGTAAATAATGTTACAAATAATGTCATTGGAGGGTTAATGTATCTATGTCTGTCTGTTTATGTGCCTCTGTACAAGGTACACCAGACCTTAAACAAACAACCTATACCAATTAACAAAACCACCTGTCTGTAGACTAACACCAACAAACAAAGCTATAAAAAAAACCCCCACAAATTTGGTCAATAAATTACTAATTCCACACCTTGTGGAACCCTTAACATCAGCTGCTGGTGGGCATATCTTCTACCAAATTCCTCAGTTTGCACTGGCCGAGAAGAGTGCTTCAGGATCTGATTGCGGGGATCGATCACCAATTTCTGGAGAGCGGGAGCGTTCTCGATGAAGTGCATCGCGATTTCAGCGTCGCTAGGGCGCCCAAAATACCCGCGAATCTCCACAACCTTGAGCGAATTGAGAAGAAACGCCTCGCCCTTGAGCATCCTTCTCCTGGTCTTCAATGGACATAGCCATATCAACTGCACAGCAGCATCCGAGTAAGGAAAACCAATCAAGTTATGTAACGGATTGCAGAAAAAGGCGAGCTCAGACTACATACATTAAAGACCAGGACAATAAACATGCTGTAAAAGACCAGGACATAAACATAGTACTTAAATGAATCCATTCCACAAAGATGTTAATAAATGTCAATTTAATGAATATAATGTTCGAGAATATATAATGTATGTTCTTCCCTAAGAAGTAACTACAGTTAGTTTCCCTGTGCAAATGCTTCTTATTCTCACGGGTGCTATGGAATTAGCAAAAAGACTGAGTTCTTAACAAGGCAAATTCAACTTATTCGAGATGATAAATTTGGAAATCCAAAGATGAGTAGGCTATACTTGGAAACAACCAATGTTACAGAAATTTTTTTCTTTCACATTAAATTTAAACCGAAGGATTAGATACGCTATTATAACTTGTTATATATGTAGTTGAAACACGCACCTGGAGCACAAATCGTTCCAAACGAGGACAGTGTTGCAGCAATGATGTGAACTGAAGAAGAGATTGATCACTAAATGCTCCAATTTTCAGCACTAACTCCTTGAGTTTGGGCAGTTCGGGAATATTTGAGAAATTAACGTTTGCCTGCATGGAAAAAAAAAAAAACAAAAAAAACGAGTTAACAAAACACCGGAAAAGAAAATGGTGCCAACAAAGAAAAATCGCGTACTAACCTGTGGACGATAGATAACTAAAGTTAGAAGCTCCAGCTGATTAAAGCAACAGGCAAGCTGTCCAAAGACATTGTTCTCGATTCCAGAACGGCCCATACCCACCGAGACCTCTTCAAGTTTTGGGACATTTTTGAAGATAAAAGTAACCGCAGGACCCAAATAACAGAACGAAGAAAGAGTTGTGTCTTGGAGCTCTATAGTTTTTAAGCCCAAGCAGAAGAGAATCTCCAAGGAATTCAGCTTGAGAGCCGGGCCAACGACCTTCACATTTACCAAGCACCTCGAGCACTGCAATGACAAAAACTCGAGAAGCGGACAGTGTAGAAGGAAAGACTCCAGCAGTTGATCACTCACATTAACGCACCTCAAAGAAAGGACTGTTAGAAACCTCAAGCCGGTATTGGACTGTCTACTAGTGAAAAGCTTAGACGGGAATGTATAGTTACACATGGCTTCACGAATACTGGCATCATATCCCAACAAATCCAGCTCGAGCCTCTTTACATTCTTCGAAAGCGCAACTTTTACCCAGTTATCAATGGCAGATTTCGAACCCTTGCCCAGATCGAAGCTAATCTTGAATGCATCGAGGGCAGGGCCGTTATGCTGCCTAATAACTCGATTCACCCAATTAATGTACTTATTTCTTTCTGTGTTCAGGGATCTTGGATATATCGCTCTTCCACCCAATGTGGTTTCGCCGTTAAAGTCTAACCCAGCAATGGACTTCCACAGGTTCCTCCACCGCCTCGATAAGATGGCAGTGGCAGCAGCCTCCTTCAACGGCAGGCGAGACAGTACAGAAATAAGAATTTCATCCGGTAATCTACTCATAAAATCACCGACATTCAACACTTCCTATACCACAAAAGTTTAAGCAAGAACATGAACACGGGTGAGAATTCAGAACTAACGGTCATCATTACTAAAGCTAAAACATAAATCAGAAATAAACGTTTAAGCTGTCAACAATTCTGCATAGATACAAAGGAAAACATAAAATTCAACAATTCTGCATAGATACAAAGGAAAACATAAAATTCAACAATTCTGCATAGATACAAAGGAAAACATTAAAAAGAAAACAACTCTCCACTGATATTTGAGCCCAAAAACAAACAAATCACATTGAAGCAATGCAAAACACCCACACAAACCTATCATTCTTCAGTTCAAATCTAAATTACTCCTAAAACACACTTAAATTAAATCCGCTATGACAAGCACAATCAAGAATTAATACAAAAAAAGTAATTGAATTTATAACTCTTTCTATCATAAAAACAAAAACTTGGCATTGCTAACCGTGCGAAGATCACAAACTCGAGCCCTTCTCCTCCTCATTGACATGTCAGATTACTAACGCAATCACCAACAGCCGCAAGCTGCAGACAGAAAATCAAGAAAACCTTACAATGTAGATACACTCAAAACATACATACACAGGAGATATAAACACACAGAGAGTCAGAGACAACATAGATACACTCAAACATACATACACAGGGAGTATAAACACACATTTCCTCATTGTAATGCGAGATTACTAACCCCAATCACCAATCACCAACCAGCCACAACATGCAAACATAAAATCCAAAAAACCTTAAAATCGGAGCAACCACAGCCAATTTGGCCAGGGTGTTGACCCAATCAACCAGGCTGCTTTAGCTCAGATATTTCCACAGATAGAGTTATAAGACAGAGTTTACTTTGTCCCCTCGGGTAGTGGTCCCAGATTTCCTCGACACTAAAAAAACAAAAATTCTTAAAATCGCTGACCTCTACAACGTAGATACACTCAAACACACATGCACAGGAGGTATAAACGCACAGAGACAACCGAGATACAGTCGAACATACGTACACAACGAGTATAAACTATACACACACAGAGATAGAGAATATCAACAGACAAACACAACCACACATACATACTTCGTTGGGTGAAAATGTAGAGAAGTCTTTATGAATTACCGAATTTCTAAACAAAATAAAATGGGTTAATCAACCAGAAATGATCGGCATTGAAGAAAAACAATGGGAGAAGAAGAAGAAGAAGAAGAAGAAGAAGAAGAAGAAGAAGAATTTGGGGCCTGTGCTCCGATGTGTTATATAACGTGGAAATTCGGTGGCAAGGATAATATATCAACAATATTCCCAGAATAGTAAATTTTCATTTCGGTTGCCAAAATAAGAAATTATTTCGGAAGATAAAACTTGAGAATGTTGGGACAACCCTAGTCAATTTTTTTCTTTTTTGGGATAAATTACGAGATGAGACACGGGAGCTGGTTCAAAGGAAATTAGAAGATAAATTATACTGTGGACCGCGGTTATAGTATTTATTATCAATTGACTTTGTGGTAATTAGTATTTATTATTTAAGTATTTATTACTCCAATAATAACAATAGTTATTGCGTGGACCATGGTCCACACAGTTGTGTGGATCATGGTCCAAAAACAACGTCGTTTTACGTAAAAAAAAAAAAAAAAAAAAAATTGACGCGACTCACTGCAACACACATTTTTATAATTCATATTGTACATTATTCTAAAGCACAATGTACATTATTTTAACTCATTAAGTACATTATCTTACCGGATAAGTTTCATTATTCTAATACATAATGTATATTATTCTAACACATAAAATACATTATTCTAACTCATAATACACATTATTCCAACTTATAAACTTTAATTAATGACGTCGCTTTGTACCGGGTCCACACAATAATTTGCCCGGTAATAATTTGTGGGCTCACATTTTTCCGTGATTTGTTCATTTTCCTACAAATATTTCAAAAATATTCCCCGGAATAATAAATTTTGATTTCGAAATTAATCTTTTAATTTAATTTTTAACTTACTTAATTTCCATCCTCACATAGAAAATTTATAAAAATATTTTAATTTGTTTCCATTGTGAGTTGACCCACTTTTTTTTTTTGGTTATTTTATTTGAAACAAATAAATTAAATTCGTAAAATTAGGTTTATTATTAGTGGAAAATTCAAACAGTTATATATTGTCAAAATGATATCTAAACCTTTAAATTTTAACAATTTAATACAAAAATTGTGTATATATATTGTAAGAATTATATCTAATTATGCGTAATAGTTGAGAATTTAATACTGATTCTTTGTATCTTCGTAACAATTATAATATTTAACATAAGAAGAAACACAACATAACCTTCCGTTTTTTAATTGGGTCACACATTGATTTTTTTTTCTAAAATTATATTTTAAAAGCATAATGTATCAAAATATTTATTTCATATAACTGAAAAATTATAAATCAAACTAAAAAAAAAAAAAAAAAAAAAAAAAAAAGGAATAAGGGTCAAATAGGCCATCGAATCGCACAGAATAATGCAATTAGGCCATTGAACTCAAAAAAGCAACAATTAAGTCCCTAAACTAACCCATTTCAAACAATTTATCTAATTTACAGGTTTTTCCCTTTCTAACAGGTCACTCAATTTAAAATATATTTTAAAAATATTTTTTTTAAAAAAATTAATTCAAATAAACTAAAATTATTTATTAAACAAAAAAAACTCGTCAACTGCCGGAGACGAAAAATGTATCTTCGTCTCCGTCTCCGGTCGAAGACGAGGAAACCTTCTTCGTCTGTGGCCGGAGACGAAGTTTTTTTTTTTTTTATTTTTTTTAACATTTTAGTTTATTTTAATTAATTTTTTAAAAAAATTATTTTTAAAAAATATTTTAAATTTTAAATTGGGTGACCTGTTAGAAAGGGGAAAAACTTGCAAATTGGACAAATTGTTTGAAATGGGTTAGTTTAGGGACTTAATTGTTGCTTTTTTGAGTTCAATGGCCTAATTGCATTATTGTGTGCGGTTCAATGGCCTATTTGACCCTTATTCCAAAAAAAAAAATACCTATATATAAAATTATAGCCACCAAACTAATAGGAAATCAAAAGAATTAAATTATTTTTAGTGCCAATTAATATAATTGGATACTGTTGGTTTTATGGTTTTTTGGGCCCAGGGAGATCCAACACAACCGTGGTTGGTGGTTTCACCTTTCAAAAATAGAAGGGAATAAGAATTCTTTGTGAATATGGGTCTCTATTCTCTTGGCATGAACCCGTCCCCCTCTACAGCTTTTGAGGAGCCCTTTTATAGTGGGTCTCTTTTGGAATTGACTTAAAACATACATTTAAGGCCATAATTGGCCCATTAACCACTATTTATCTATAAAGGCCGCTGGGCTGCCGTTACTGGGCCTCCCAACAGCTCTTTGACTGGGCTCTTAAACACCCTCTTAAATGCTCCAACGGTCTCTTGGAACTCGTGCCGACCTCAGGGTCGGGCCAACTCCTTGGCTTGGTCCATGTCTCTCTTGGGCCTTCCTTCTTTTGGGCTTGGCCCCACCTTCTTTCCGGGCCACTCTTTACTTTTGGGCTTCTTCTCTTCTTCCCAGGCTTTGGGCCCGGGGTCCACACCCCATCAGATACAATTATCATAACATAAAAATGTACAATTGTTATGTCGTGCAACCGTGTGTACCATTCTTGGTACACACGGTTGAAAACGACATCGTTTAACACTATGGGAGTAACGGTGCCGTTAGTGGCACCGTTTGACTCCTCCAATCGTTTTTTTTTTTTAAAAAAAAAACAGAAAAAATAATATTATTATTAGTATAACGCGCCATTCGACGCCTTTTTCCGCCATTTTCGACCTTTCGTCTCCAACAAACTACAACATAGTACAGAGCTTCATCGCACTATTGCAGTCTTCATCGACGTTCTCTCGTTCTACTCGGAGTCACATTTCTCGCCGTCTTCATCGCATTGTCGCCGAAACCATTGTGACCGTGTTTTGTTGACCATTTTTCTCGCATTGTCGCCATTTTCATCGCCTTCTTCTTCTTCAGGTATTATGTATTTATATAGACTTATAGACTGTTAACGTTCATATTTGCTATACATTTTTGTGATTTTTGACTAGGGTTTTGCAATGTGATTTTGGATTTTTAACGTTGATCTTATGAGTATTTTCAACAAGTATTATAAATCTGTATATTATGAACACAATTTAAGGGATTTTGAATATAAAGAACCAAAGTTATGGATATATAGTTCACAGATTGTAAATGTTGATTCAAACGATGAATGATTTTTCCCAAACAGAGCAATACTCTGTTTTTTTTTTCTTTTTTTTTTTTTTTTTTTTTGTGGACATATAGTTGTGATATTATAGATATATAGTTGTGATATTATGGATATATAGCTATATAATTGTGGATGTGTAGTTCAATACTTCTGCATGTATGAAAATATCATTCTTGTCTTCAATTAGGGTGTTTTTGAAATATTTGTGGACATATAGTTGTGATATTATGGATATATAGCTATATAATTGTGGATGTGTAGTTCAATACTTCTGCATGTATGAAAATATCATTTCTGTCTTCAATTAGGGTGTTTTTGAAATATTTGTGGACATATAGTTGTGATATTATGGATATATAGCTTTATAATTGTGGATGTGTAGTTCAATACTTCTGCATGTATGAGAATATCATTCCTGTCTTCAATTAGGGTGTTTTTGAAATATTTGTGGACATATAGTTGTGATATTATGGATATATAGCTTTATAATTCTGGATATGTAGTTCAATACTTCTGCATGTATGAAAGTATCATTCCTGTCTTCAATTAGGGTGCTTTTGATATATTTATGGACATATAGTTATGATATTATGGATATATAGCTTTATAATTGTGGATGTGTAGTTTAATACCTCTTATTTACAGAAATGGTGCGCGAACCTACACTGAATGACGCTCTTCAAGAAACTAAAATAAGAAGAACAAGAGCAATCTTGAATTCACAAGCAGCTCAGAGCTCTAACCCAACTAATGAAGAAAACCTTGCTAGGCGAACAACCATTGCAGAGACTTCAACGAGAGGGCGCCAAACTTCGTGTAAAAGACGCCGAGCACCACAAACGACAGAAAAAAGGGCAGATTACTTCAGTACAAGGATGGGGCCAAAATTGATGTTTGACCTTGTCCAGAGGCTCTCACCACAGCATAAACAAGCTGTGGTTGATGTTGGATTTGGTGGACTTCTACATCTCTAACTCGGCACCAATGAATCAAAGTTGGTGCAATACCTGTTGGACAAATTTAATGTTTTCAGGTGTGATTTTGTATTAGAGGATGATATTTTCCACATTGAAGAAGAAGACGTCGAGTACAAGTTAGGGATCCCGCAAGGGGGTATGGAAGTCAATGAGGGAACAAAAATGGAAGACAACTCAACCCATGAATACAAACTGCTGCTGACTTCATGGAGACAGAGGTGGGGTATTACAGCAGGATCACCAATAACAACACA